CTCCGTTAGTAATTTTTATACCTTCTTAACTTTGCTTCTTAAATCTTTAATCTAGGAAGAAAAGTTTAAAAATTGAAAAATAAGAGAGAATGCCAAGTGGCAATTCTAGTGGAATATGTTTTATAGTAAATATAAATATTAAATACTAAACTTCTTCAATTATACAAAAAATTATATATGTCTAAATTTTGTAAGGGAGCAAACAAAATATTATCTACTATATTAAAGACTAACAAATTAAAAAAAAAAAAGGAAAGAAATAGATAAGAATTTTATTTCTTTAAACTTTTTGGACTTTGTCAAATGAATGACCAAATCTACTATGCCATAAGAGAGTATTATCAACTACTTTAAAAATTAAATGACTATCTACTATATTGATTATCATAATATTTACATCAACATTAAATGAAAAATGGGAAGAATGTAACGCCCAACCTTTTTGTAATATTGATTGTCATTATTATTATTATTATATATATATATGGATATTGGAATGTACTCTTGAGTGTGTGATAAATATTGAATTATGTGTGTATGAATGCGTATAGATAAATACGCGGTTATAAGAGTATATATATATATATATATATATATATATATATATATATATATATATATTTGGGGTTAGACTGAATTTTGGCCAAGTGTTTTGGTGCAGGGTGTTCTCGCTGTAGCGAGAGGGCCCTAGGAGGAAGGTGTGAAACTGTCGCCTTATTGTTGTAGCAAGAGTGTCTCGTTGTATCGACAAAACAACAGTTTGAGGTACATTTCTGGGCGTAGTCTCGCTATAGCGAGAATATGCAGAAATCAGGGTGTAATTTTCTCTGATATTTTTGCTATAGCGATAGGAGGCGTTGCTGCTGCGAGAGTGTCTCGCTGTAGTGAGAGTGTCATGAGCAGAGGGGTATTTGAAGGGGTTAGGGTTAGGGTTAGAGAAATTCATTTCTCATCTTCTCCCTTCAAAATCTCTTCTATCTTCTCAATTCTAAACCCTATTCCACCGATTATATTGTTTCCAAAGCCGTTCGTAAGCTAGATTGGAGGTTGGATTCGTGTTGAAAACGCTTAGATGTGAGTTTTCATAGTTAGGGTTTATGATGTGTCATCCTCACTCATTGTTTTCTCAGTTTTCCTGAGTTCTCATGGAGTTCTTCTATGTATTTAGGTCAAAGTTCGTGTAGGGGAGCACTTACCTTGTTGATTTGGTGTGCGAGTCTTCATTTGAGGTAAGGGGAGGACTCTACCCTATCTCATTGTGTTTAATTTACTGTTTATTTTGTTGAATGTTGTGATGTGGCTGAGATAGAGAGTAAGAAATGTGTGATTTGATGAAAATTATTGTGTGTTTAGAGTGAAATGTGAATTGATTGTGGGTTGACATACCCTTGATTAAGAATGTGTGTGAGCATGTTAAGGAATGATGATTGAATAATGTAAATGGTTGTAAATGGATATGGATGACCTGTTGATATGTTGTGTGATGGAATAATAGCATATGTGCCGAGCATTATGAACGAATTATGGGTCTGTGTGCCGTGTACTGTAAATAAAGGTGGGCCTTTGTGCTGTGTAATGTGAATAAATGTAAGCAAAGTATGTCGTGTATGATATGCTATAGATGGTTTAGAAATACACTAGATGTGTGGAAGATAGGGATGATAGAGATACCTTGGGGAAGAGAGAGTGGTGGTGACCCAACAGTGAGCATGGATGCACCACAGGCCACACACTCTCCTCTTGACTAAACCCTTGACTAACACCTTTGCTGAGCAACTCGTGACTGCCCACGCAGTACCTATGAGGTGAGGGTAATCGGCGACTATTCATGGTATGAAACTGTGATCACAGTGTCACAATGAGCGTGGCTACGTGTGATAAGCGCATATGTGTGAAATGTTGGTACAGTAAGTGCACCAGTTGTGTCCTGAATTGGAATAGATGATGAATGATGATTGTGACTGAGATTGAGATGCTTGTCTTGTGGATGCATGATTGAAAATATGTTAGTAAATGTGTAGTATTTGATGTGAGTCTCTATGTTTATATGTGTTGAATATTGTAGAGTACTCATCATTACATTTATTTTTCAGGTGACCAAGACGATCAATACCAAACTTAGTGAAGAAAGGATAAACTACTATAGGACTTAGATTGTATTTTGAAATTATGATGTGACTGAATTAGTCCTGTAGCAGTCTTTTATATAAACTTGTAATCTTTTATTGTTTTGAACTATTTTATGAAACTCTATGATGTGATCTTTTATTTAAATGAAAATTTTATTACTCCTATTTTATGAAATTATTACTTGAAAATTAATTTAAGGTGTTACAAAGAATGCTCAATACTCCAACATGTAAGCTATGTATGACTTTACTATTGCCAATCATTTTCAACTTGAGTGAATTTTGAATAACAAGAGTTAGTAAAGAATATTATGCCATAATAACATATATTGAGTAATGTTTTGATGGATAAAAAGGTGGGTCCAAGAGAAGATATGTAAAGTACATTTTGAAAAATAAATGTTGAGTTGATTTTAATAGTTCATTGTTATTGTAACTATGACTTTAATATGAGAACCATTAATCAAAGTGACAAATTTGTTATTAAGTAATTGATAAGAGTTAAAAAAAAATTAATATAATGAAAAATCAAGAATTTAAGAAATAAAAATACACAAAATATAGCAAATTATTTTTGGAAAAATACGTATGAGAAAGATGAGAATTAGATTCTCAGTTGTGATCTTTAGATTAAAAACCTTCAAAAACTTGTAACTGTAGTTAGGACATCATCTATTAATACCAATTAGGAGTGAGTCTTAAAATCTATTGATGAACCAAGATGAAATGAGTATTTAGACTAATTGGACTTCTACTAGTTAGAAGAATAACTTTAAGTTAAAAAATAACCTACTTATAAAATGATTAAGAGTAGAAAGAATGAATATTAAACAAAATTTATATTAGTTCACCAAAAAATGATAGACCAATGCTTAGTCTTTGACCTTAGTCAATATTTTTTCTATTCAACTTAAGTATACATGTTGCATATGTTACACTCTAAATATTATTGCACAAGTCTCTTCAAGTTCTATTCATCTAAAGATTCTTACAAATACTTCTTTAAGCAAATTACACTCTTAAAGTATCATTCTTATGTCTCTTTAGGCTTCTATACACTAAGAAAGAACACAAGAAATTTGTACATAATAAGATTTAATTTTTGAATGATATGAACTTTACATATTCTAGTTGCTTGTCTTTTGCATGGATATGTATTTTGTTAAATAGCTTTTAGCTTGATAGTCTATATTAGACACGTCAAATTACTTGTGAGATAGAATAAACTATTTTTAAAAATATTTCTAAAGAGAAGTTCTTTTTGTTTTCTTTCTTTTGTTCTTTTGCCATTTTGGTGTAAGGCTTGAGGAATGAGCATAAAAATACTTTTGTCTCTACTAAAGAAGATAATCTTTCACTTCTTAAGGATAAGTTCATTTTTTTGGTTAACTTCTTAATTTTGTACTTTGATTGACACAGTTAATTTAAAACAAATGTTTGTCATAATTTTTCTTTTACAAAATGTTAGTTCCCTTATTGGTTGCTTTCAAACTATCTATTCTTATGAATAATTTTATAATTACATATTTTGAAACATTTAACAAATATATTAAATACAATATAAAATTCATCTAAAGCTTAATAATTCTCAACTATCAAAATTCATTATGACTTTGTGTCTATGAGAAATTTATCTTTTGCTTTAACATGATGAATCATTAAAATTTGACCTCTAATTTGAGCATGAGAATTACTAAGGTTAAGAAGATAAAACACGTTCAAAGTGATGATATTCCAAATGATCATATTGCACCATAGAAACATGAGGGTAATAGTTGATAGTCATTAAGTTTGTTTTATAAAGTTTTAAACATAATAAAATAATGGTTAATAGAAAAATTCTCTTGAGTGAGACTCAATTTTTTATTTAGTAGAAAAACATAAGGTCTTTTTTAATGTTTGAATTGAGTTTCAAGATCACACCAAATGACATGTACTAAAGAAAAACATATCTCAATTATGTAAGACATCAATATTATTATTGCTCTCCTATAATGTTGATCCACTTTGAGATTTGGAGGAGGTGGGTTGTCACCAACAAAGACAAAGTTGATTTTGCTTAAAAATACCATACACATGGTGCAACTTTAAGAAGAATAGTTGTCAATAGTAAATGACTTTGAGACAAACATATGCTCAATACCATTTGAGGGATATATGAAGTAAAGATTAAGAAATTCTTTAGAAATCACTATAGCAAACAGAAGTACAAAAGTACAAAGCACAATAAAAACTAATTGTCAACTTATACCATAACATGAATACAAGTAAAAGAAAATGAAAGTGTGTTATATTATTGAATAACTAAATATTTATATACAAAAGTAACAAGAAGAAACAATTGTGAATAATTAACAAAATCTTAACATAAAGTTAACCATTATCAATTAATAAAAGAAAATTGCTAGCAATACTCTCTTTAATATATTTTTAATTATTAACTAAAATTATTAAAATTTAAAATTATATGTCTCACTCTTAATTTAATAATTATCTCTTATATTTTTATATATTTTTAATAAAATCTAGTTAATAAATAATAATATATTAAAAATGTATTATTAGTTTTTCTCTAATTTATAAAATCTAATGAAATAATTATTAATAAAAATTAATAATTTTAATAAATACTTGATACCAATTATAAATGTGAAACAACACATAAATTAAAAATAAGCAATCTAGTATGATAAAAATTATCCAAATTAATGATTTTAAAAAAATATTTTTTAGTAATTTGTTTTTAAATTTGTTCGGTTAAAAGGCCTAAGAAGCGAGGACAGGCTGAAGAACAAGAACAAGAAGGGGAAGACTTAGAAAGCAACCTGCTGGCATAGGGTTTAAAGAAAATTACTGTTAAGACCCAGAAATATTGTACACAAGCAAGGTGCCCCACATAAACGACGCCGTGGGCTCGGATAATTTCCGAGGCAGGTTAAGGGGTAATTGGGGAATCCAGAAACCACCCTTAGGCCGATAATATAACGCGCACACACCCACCCAGTACCCACCGCACAGCACAAACCCAAGGCGGTGAAGTCCCGAAACAAACTTCGCCGTGGAGGTTACAACTCACAGCAACTGCTATTCTGATTCCACACTTCTGTTTGGTTTGGATTCCCAGCAATACACCCTTTCTCTATCAGCAAAAAATCTCACACCGTACAAATCCGCGTTGCTTCATTCTTCGCTTATCTTCACCCGCATTCTTTCTTCCTACTTGCTATGTATGTATCTTTTCTTCGAATCTCAGTTTTCACTATCCAATTGTATTTATTCTTATGTTTTTTAAGTGTTTGCTTCTTGTTTTATTTGCTGCGGCAATGATTGGGGTTTCTGTTGATTGTGATTCTGATATGATTTTTATTTTATTTTTTTGTATGTGTTTATTTAATTTGCTGGACTAAGGGGGACTGTTTGGCGTTTATACGCCCTTTTTTTGGTGCGTGTAACAAAAATGTTTATGAATTTTAGGATAGTCGAAGTATGGAACGGTTTGGTTGGAATTTAAAAAATAATCAGTTCCGTGGAGCTTATGACAATCCCTAATCAAATTCTTTTTGTTTTTCAAATTCATGTGTAATTTTTATTGTTTGCTTCATATTCAATGTAAGTCTTGGGCTATGGCCGTACGAATAAGTAACACTCTTACATGTGATTTTTTTTTGGACTGATACTTTTATCTCATAATTGTTACCATGAAGTGAATTTTAAGAAGCTTATCAATAAACCTCATGTACTCAAGTAGAAAATTAGGGTTACATCCTGCTGGTTGATCTTATGATTTGAGGACTGGCTGTGCTTACTTGCATTTGTATGTTCTACATCTGTTTTTCCCATTATGTGCTTCGGTTGTGGCTTGTAGTCTGATGGCATGTGCGTGTTTGTTGCATATGCATCCATGCTTGTGATTTGATGTAATTAAGATTTGTGAGCATGTGTGTATCTGTCATGCCTGCAATCATGCGATCCAATGGTCTGACTTCTGTGTGCATGTCTCTACTCTCTATACTTTTTGTGTATCCGATTGTGTATAAATGGCAATATCAGCTTTCATTTGATTAGGGCATAAATAATTGATAACATTACATTCATGTATAGAAGTTTATTTTACCTTGCTGGCTTATAATTTAAATAAGAACTAATCAACCAATTAATTACATATTATATTCTCTGATCTCATTGAGGGTTGTTTATTCGTTCGCCTAGTCTTGTGGCCTTGATTGCCCTTACTTAGTTTTCTTTTGTACTTCTTTATAGGATTATCTTATTAGCTTCCTATGGTAAACTTACTTGACAGCCAACATTTTCTTCTCTTTTGCTTTTTGCAGTTTATTGCGAGCCAAAACTTTACCTATTTCAATTCAATTTTTTCAAGGTTTTTAAATTGTGGTATGCAATGACAGTGTTATGGTTTTGGAGATCTCCACAAGTGTATCACGATTGCAATTGTGGCAGCATCAGTTGCTATTTAGTTAATTGCAATGAAAATGCAACCATGACTGCGATTGCAGCTGCTATTTAAAACCTTGAATTTTATGCATGTAATGTTAACTTAGTAATGTCCTGAGTGTTTTTATCTATCCATCTTTCAAAACAATCTTTTATGTAAATTTTCATTTTAATGGAAAACTTACATTAGGTGTGTTTAGCTGGAATATTTTGTTTTGAAGGATTACTTTGTCTAATTTTCTTAACATATGTGTTTTTTTGTAATAGCTGATGTGTGTACTTGTTATCCTAAAAAAAATCTGTATCTTTTATATGTTTTATGTTAATATTTTGCTGGGGTTGATATCCTAATTTTCAAGTTCCTTTTTTTTTTTTTTCTTTTTTAAAGGTTTTTATGAAAGTTGGAATTCTTGTTGATTAGTTGTGCCAGCTCTACTTGGAAAGATGGGTAGCACATTCAATCCACAGATTTTAGTGGAAAAACTGGCCAAGCTGAATGGTTCACAGACGAGTATAGAGAGTATCCTTAAAGATCATTTTATTGGCAGTAATGGATTTCCAATAGTGTCTTGTTCAAGCGGATGTTTATCTGTTTCCACTTTATTGAGTTCGTTTAGTCATGATTTTAGTGTCTAGATCACCTATTGTGCTTGCCCTGAATTTTTGTTTTACTATATTTGGATGTTGGAACATTATCCTTGTAATGTTGGAAGAGGTGTAATACTCCTCCTTGGTTTATTGCAATGATAACCCTTCCCTTTCAAATGCAGAACTGTTTATGGAGTTCTATGATCAGCAGTAAACAATGCAATATAACTGTTATTTCCTTCTTTACCATATGATGGCTAACAATAATCTTGTACAAAATTCATCTGCACGTGTGCTTGGACACATAAACATTCATATGATTTCTTTGGGTCTTTTTGAATTTGTTGCGTATAAATATTTACTGCTGATCAGATATTATCCTTAATGTGGTTAAGCTTTGTCGCATTGGTGCATTTTTCATATGAACAAAGCCAAACAAGTTGTTGAAACATGGGATAGACAATTTCATTGTTCTCCTCGTGAGAAGAGATTGGCATTTCTCTATCTTGCAAATGATATTTTACAGAACAGCAGGAGAAAGGGTTCTGAATTTGTAGGTGAATTCTGGAAGGTTCTTCCAGATGCTCTTCGAGACGTGATTCAAAGTGGAGATGATTTTGCTAGAAATGCAGCACTTCGGCTGGTACTTTAATAATTATTTTTTCTTAATTATAGAATGTGATACATGCTTTTTGACTTTATTCTTTTACACGTTATCTTAAGATGTAGCCTTGTGTTGTTAGCTGGATTTAAAAAAAGTGTTCTTAGATCTTTTGATTTAAAAGAAAGATAAATAACTTCGGTTATTGTTTACTCCAGCATTTCTTCTTGCATGATCACCTATCAGGGAGTGCAACATGTGTTCTGAATTAGTTAATATATTTTGTTTTGGTCATGTATTTTATGCTTGTTTTTGGAATTGCTGCAAGCTAGATGTCTTCTCATGCATTTTTCTTAATGTAATGAAGTTTTTGGCCAACCTTCAGCTCAGATACTGAATTGTTGATTTTGTTATTAAAGGCTAGGACGCTAGGTACAATGTTAGGTCCAGACATATTAAAGAAAAATGCAAAATTTTCTGGTAGTCTGTTCTAAGTTTATTATAAATTGAGTTGTCAAGGTAGTTTTACATAGAATAGCAAGGTGGGTTAGATTGGTCCGAATTATAATTATAATTTTAAGAAGCTCATGCATCAAGTTTTTTGTTTGTAAACTTTTTGATCAAATATACAGTATGTTTTTCCTTGCATAGCTCAGTTGATCTGTTTATGACATATATACTAACTACATATTACTGTTAAAAATAGTTGCTTTTTAAATCTGTTTACATTTTAAAACTCAGTTGCACAAATTGCAATGTGGTTAAAACTCAATTAAATGAACATGATTTTTCTGCATGGAAATGGAGTTTTGAGCAATGAAAATGCCAAACCAATCAGGCTGCAAGTCTTTCTGATGTTTGAAAACTGCATGTATATTTTTTATTTTGATAATAGGGAACAGTTATATGTTTTTGAACTGAGGCTTTGCCTGATTAAGTTGGAGAGAACCACACTACAAAAGTAGCTGTTGTAGTCGGAGAGCCAAGGCCTTGTAAACTTCACAATAGAATTTAGAATCCCTTACTTTTGATGTGGGGCTCAAGTTCCTTACCTTACAATTGGATCCTAACGTTCCACTATGCTCCACAACTCTGGTGCCCACATGGGCTGACCATGCACTGGCCCCTTTGACTAATCTTTGGTGAACACTACAATGCCAGTGTTACTACTCATGCTGCTCATTTGCAATTGGGAGACATGGTAGAAGGTTTTGATCATAGCAGTCAATTCCAGATACCGGCGTGGAGCGATCAACCCCAAAAATGATATAGTGGGATAGTAGATAACGAGATTACTGCTATTTTGAAAACAATCAAAACAGAGGAAAAAAAAAGTCTAAGAGTGTTTAGTCACCGGAAAAAGCTTTAACACAAATGATCTCATTGAAAAATGACTCACTATCATTGGAAAAAGTCTACATCTTGTCGAAAATAGCTTGGGTTATACTGGAGATGAAGAAGCAACTGGAAAATGTCTTTGCTCACTTTAGAAATAAGTTGGGTTTCATCTGAGCAAAAGAAGACGATTGGAACTTGGCCGAAAATGATGACTTGCACCAGAAAGTGACGTCGGAAATGACGGATGAAGCAAGATAATGAGAGAATAAAGATTGAGGTAGGGTTCGAGATAGAGGTTGGGTTCCAACTTTCAAAAATATTAAAGGGGGCAAAATCTCAAGATTCTCCCCTTAAAAAGCATTCCACCTTTTAGAAAAAGAAGACAAACTTGTCCTTTTGCCCTTGTTTGACATATAAAAGGGGGCGAAATCCCAAGATTACCCTTCTTATAAAGCATTCCAACCTCTAGAAAGGGAGTGCAAACTTGCCCTTTTGCCCCATGATGAAATTGCGATTGCTAGAGCCGTGATTTGCTTCGCTTTTTGCCATGATTTGCAGCGTGATGGCTGCTACACTGAAACGCAATGCGATGATGATGGAATAGCGGCACCCAGCCGCTTTGCACCTCTGGCGATAATGGCCGCAATGGCCACTATTGACTACTATGGTTTTGATACCAATTGATAAGAACCCTTGAAAAATCACATTACAAAAGTTAGTGGTTGTAGTTGGAGAGTCCAAGGCTTATAAACCTTGCAATTGGATCCTAACAAAATAATTTATAGATATATTCTTTTTGAAGTTCTTTAGATATTGCATTTGAAACAACAACAACTGAGTCTTATCTCATTAAATGAGGTCGGCTATATAGATCACACGATGCAAAAATCAAATTCTGTGATATTATTTATTGCTAAATTTCTTTTAATAATTTTCTCTAAAGTTTTTTTAGGTTTTTCTCCATTCCTTTTTATTGGATTGAAAGTCATGTTTTTTACTCTCCTTGCCGACACCTCTAGTGACCTTTGCACATGTCCAAATCATCTAAATTGATTTTTTTGTCATCTTTTCCCCAATAGGTCTTACTCCAATACTTTTGATCATGTTATGTGTCTGTATTAATGCATAATGTTGACTTGAGCATATTGTCTACATGGACCTGAAATATGAGAATATATCATCATGCATTTTTTTTCCCTTAATGTTTTTCTCTTTCAGTTTTGCTCTACTTTTTGACAGCTTATGTTCTGAATTTTTTTAATATCAATTTCATGTTCAAAGGGAATAAGCATGGTGGTTATTGTATCAACTTCATGTTGTTTGTTATCTATTGTTTATTGATCTGATTGACATTCAGCCATTCCCTGATTATTTTTAATTCTGTGATGGAGAGATGTTATTTGATTCCTCAAAATTCATGGTAGTTACTGTAAATTACTCAATTGCAATGATGTGTTCTTCGCTTCAACTCACCCTGCCATTATTGGCTGCTTCAGAGTTGCTTTTGCAATGAAATGCCACTTTCTTGTAGGAATACTATAATTATGACATGTTCCCCCTCTCCTGTAACTGATCATTAAGAAAATATGTAATTTGTTTTTTATCATGTTACTCTTATTAGTTTAAATGTTCGTGATAAAATACATTATATAAAACATTGGCATTGGTGAAATTTCTTTTGATACATGACTCTCTCCTTTAAGCAGATTGGTATATGGGAAGAGAGAAAAGTTTTTGGTTCTCGTGGTCAAATTCTAAAGGAAGAGTTTGTTGGGAGGCATGTGGAAAATAATAGCCGTGATGTGAAACCTGTGAACATGAAACTGGTAATAGTTTCTGTATTTATATGATTTGCTGTGCCTACTGTCATTGTATATATGCTCTGCATGCTGATTGCATTTCTTATACTTTTACATTTCAGAGGCCATCTGCGGGGAATGCATTGGAGAAAATAGTTTCTGGTTATCATGTTGTTTATGGAGGGCAAACAGATGAAGATGCTGTGTTGAGCAAATGCAGGAATGCCATTAGCTGTCTTGAGAAAGCAGATAAGGAAATAGGTCATGATGGTAATTCAGGTATGTCAGTTTATCAATTATTGTTTTTTTGCCTGTTTGCAGTAATTGTGAGTTTGTGATTCATGCACACTAGTCGTCTGTCTATGTTAGTGTATGTGTGTATTGTATCTGTTCCGTAGTGTGACAGTTGTTAGTTGTTGGGTTAACTGAATACAGCTGTTGCACACTAAAAATAGATTGTAACTATCTCAGATTAATAGACTGAACAGTGAACCCTCAGATTCTCTCAAAATTTTTCTCCTTATTTTCTCTCTACTCTGAACTCTAAACAGTCTTAAGCATGAATAACTCATTACTGATTTTTTTTTTTAATTTCTTAATGACTGTATCTGTTACTTGAATGTCAAAAGGGCAATTGGTGTTTTTGCTTTGATTAAATTAGTCAACTCAGCTTAGATGCCAAATGTAAATTAGGGTTAGTTCTTAAAATAACGAAGATGAAACTTTGTAATAGAGATAATTTTCTAAACCCTAATTAGTCTAGTTAACTATCATGACTCATGTATCATCTCTTCCAACAATGACACTACTATGATTTTTTCATGAATATAAACAATAAGAAGCTTGCTAAGGGTGCACTTGGATAAATTTTGAAAAAAGTGCTTTTATGAACTTTTATTTTGGGGAGGAGTTGTTTGAAAAACATTCAATGATCTTAATACTATTTAGGCATCTTTTTTTTTTTCAAAATTAAGAAAAGTGTTTTCTATTAAAGAAAAGCACAATCATCAAAGGAGCCCTAAAATATTTTTGGAATTCTTGGTTTTATGTACAATTAAAGCCTTATTGTAAAATCTGTAGAACTTAGTAGTAGATAGATGTCAGGAGAGAGAGAATGGATAAGGCCATGGTAATGAATCCCTGATAGCGGCATAGAGCGACCGACCCTAAAAACATTATAGCGGGATAGTGGATAGCAAGATAACTGCTATTCCAAAGACAATTAAAACAGAGAAGGAAAATAGATCAAATAGTGGTTAGTCACCTGAAAAAGCTCTAACATAGATTATCTTGCTGAAAAATGTCTCACTATCATTGATAAACGAGTACATCTCATCGGAAATATCTTGGGTTTCACTAAAGATGAAGAAGATAACTGGGAAACATCTCTATTCATGTTAGAAATAAGTTGGGTTTTGCTGGAGATAAAGAAGACAGTCGGAACTTGATTGGAAATAGTGAATTGCACTAGAAAGTGACACAGTTGATGGAGGACGAAATAAGAGAATGAGAGACGGAAGTAGGGTTCAATCTTGACTTGCGAAGACATAGAAGCACATAGCATTGCGAATTGCGATATAAAATGGGGCAAAATCCCAAGATTGCCCTTAAAAAAATTCAAAGTTTCGACTTTCAGAAAGGGAGGGCAAACTTGCCTTTTTGCCTTGTTTGACATAGCGGTCTCAATGGCCGCGATTTTCCCCTTTCATGGCTGTGAATTGAGGTGTGACAACCGCGACATTGAACCATGACACGATGGCTCCAGAATCGTGGCAGGGGGCTGCTCCTCTGTGATTGCGTTTGTTATTGACTACTACGGACAAGACAGGGCTAAAGGTTGCTATTATATTGCAATTTTATATGATTTTTCTTATCCACACAGTATTGCTTGGAGTCTAATTATTTTCCATTATTAACATAAATTACCTAAAATAACTAAATACAACAACAAAGCTTTATCCCACTAGGTGAGGTCAACTACATGGATCATAAAATGTCATTGAGCTCAGTCAAAAATTAAATTCTTTGGGATATTATTTACTATGACATCCCTTTTAATAATTTCCTTGATAATTCTTTTGACTCTCCCTCTACCTCTTTTCACCGTTGCTTGATTCCATTGGGTTCTATCCAAAACCATATAAGTTATGTGGACCTAGCCTTTGCCCTCCATAATTTTGTTGTAATTGATTGTGATAATAACCTTGGGAGAACCAAACCACAAAAGCTAGTTATTGTAGTTGGAGAGCCTAAGGCCTTATAAACCCCACATTAGAATTATAGCTTGTGACTGCATTAGCTCAACGCAGTCTGTTTTTAATCCTATTTTTAAACCATGAATTCATCTCATGCACTGTGTATGTGTTGTTGTGTTAAGTAGAAAATTTAAGATAATGTTTTCTAGTTATTGTGTTTATTTAAGTGGCAATACTTGTTGATTGCATCTTATCGGATATCCTTTGCTATTCAATCATCAATGAGTAGGGCGATTCCATGGATCTGCACTAGTGGATGAGCTCCAGGGGCATAGTGCTGCATTAAAGGACTGCATCGAGCAATTAACAACCATAGAATCATCAAGAGCTAGTCTTGTGTCTCACTTGAGGGAAGCTCTCCAGGATCAGGTACTTATTCAAGAGTTTATCTTTAAAAAAGTAATGTAATCTATAGTATATAATTTTGCTATATTTTTGTTCACAGGAATTCAAGCTGGGTCAAGTCCGTAGCCAGATTCAGGTTTGAAACTTGTCCAAATTCATTAATATATACTTTCTGTGATTGTCTATATATATGAATATATGAGATGGCAGAATTTCGTATTGCCTTTTAGCCCAATGACATGCACAAAAAAATTGCACTATCATTTATCTAGAAGTTAGTGGTTATAACTCTTATGAGTAACTTCCTTATGAAGACACTATTATTTTTATCAGCTGGGGAAATAAAATCAAGAAATGAAAACATTTGTGTCTTTATTTTTTGTTGATCCTTTTTTCATTAAAAGGATCCTTTTTACTATAAAAAAATTATTTTTTTATCTATCCTCTTATTGTATTAAATTATCCAAAAATGGCTCCCAACCACTGCTGGGTAATTTAGTGCTTGGTCTCTTGCTCAGCAACCAAAAAATGTGGCAGCTTTGGTAAAGCAGTAGAATTTGATTGTATTGCATCAATCAATATTATATAACCTCTTTACATTTGTCACACTTGCATTGAAAAGATAACTTTCCTGGTCAGTATTAGAACCAGAGGGCCTAAGAGTGTTGCAGTGGAACTCGTCCATTCTCTCTCTCTCTTATTCCTAGGTATTCAAGAGACTTGGAACTCATCACGAAATGAATCCTCTAATTATCCTATACCACTTTTCTTGGTTCTCCTTGTTAATCATGGAATTTATTATTACATCTATTATTATTCTCTTTCCTATTATATGTTGTATCAATTAGTAATAGAATCAGCTTATTAATTGTATATATTTAGAATTCCTAATTTAGGTTGTATAAATCAGGAATTAGATTTAATTTGTCATTAAATGTACCTGTATTATATGGAGCAGATCAGAACCAGAGAAATGAGAAAAGTGAAATTGTTTTGACATGGTTGCCTGGCTTATTGCATGTTCAGTACAAATATTGACATTTATTGATAACTATAGTCGCTTTACTTGAATATATTTTCTCTGTTGTAAAGCTAAAGTTTTCTCAATGTTTAAAGAGTTTCTAGCTTACATTGAAAATTAGTTTCGATCGAGCGCTAAGATCTTGTGCATGGATTCTGGAGTAGAATATACTTCTACTGATTTTCAAGAGTACTTACAATAGAAAGACATTATTTCTTAGCATTTCATGTCTATATACACGTCAACAAAATGGTGTTGCTAAGCAAAAGAATCAGCACTTGCTTGATGTTACAAGAGTATTACTCCTTGATGCCTCAATCCCTTCTTTTTGGGTTGAAGGCTTGAAGCATTGTACATTGCTTTTCTACTTGATCTACGTCGTCTTTCTCAGGTTCTTTGGCATCACTCAAAAGGGTGTCTTGTGTTATGATGCTACTGCTCAAATATTTCTCATATCCTGAAATGTTTTCTTTGATATCAATATTTCTTTCATTTTCTCCTAAAATTAATGGTTTTGCTTCTCTCCCTACCTTTCTTGAGGTCTCTCTTGATACTAAATGTTTTAAACCTGGACATGAATATGCTTGATGCCAATTTGCCTTGTTCCTTCTCAAGCCTGATCCGTCACTTGAGCACACACCTATTGCACCTTGTAGATTCAATTGTGTTTCTCCTCCATCAAATAGGTATGTTTTCTCACCTACTTCTCTAATTGCCACTTCATCTAGCTTCCCTATTCCTACATGTTATTCATAGGTTATTAAAGACGAGTGTTGGGTCAAAGCAAATCGAGGAGTTGTAGGCACTCAGGAGAATTACATATTGTTCCTTGCCTATCTGCTGTTAAACCCATTGGTCGTAAATAGGTGTACTTTGAGAATCGTAATTCTGATAGTTTTCTTAATAATTACAACGCCCAATTGGTTGCCTTGGGTAACAAACAAGAATATGGAGTGGATTATGATGAGACTTTTGCACTTGTGGCAAAAATGACTACCATCAGAATTCTACCCTATTGTTTTCCTCTTCTGTAGGTGTGTGCAAGCTTCAATGCTCTGTATATATGGCTTATGCCCCACAAGCATGGTTTGAAAAATCAGACTACTCTTCTTGGCTTTTCTTTTACTCAGCCGATATGACTCCTCATTTATTTATTTCCTCATTTATTTATTCAAACCACTACAACTGATATTGTTTTTTTTCTTATTTATGTTGATGATATTGATTATTATTGGCTTTGATTATGTATCCATACAGTACCTTAAAGAGCAACTTTAGGGTTCTTTTAATATGAACGATCTTGATAGTCTTCACTAATTTTTTGGTTTGGAAGTTCATTCTGATTCCAAGGGTATTTTTCTCCATTAATACAAGTACAATGAAGATTTGGTTTTTTTTAGCGGGCCTTCAGTCTACTGTTTCAGTGGATACTCCTCTCAAAAGTTAATGTCAAATATCATCTTGATGAGGGTGACCTTTTTGTCTAATCCTTTACTGTATCGTCAGTTAGGGGAAGCTTTAACTATTTGACTATTACCCATCTTGACATCTCATTTGCAATACCACATGTCAGTCAATTTATGCACATCCCTCGTTACCTTCACCTGGCTGCCGTTTTCTGCATTGCTCTTCTGGTTTATTTTTTCCTACGTGAAACTCTATAACCTTGCTTGACTATAGTGATGCAAATTGGGAAGATTGTCCCAATCCTTGGTGATTTGTCATTGACTGGTGCATCTTTTTAGCTCCTGCTTTGATTTCTTGGGAAAGTCTAAAGCAATCTCGAGACTTGAAGTCCTCCATTGACTCTGAATATCGTGCTATATTTGGCTTTGTGGTCTTTTGGTTGTGCTTGGATTCCTGCAAATAGTTGCCCCGCCTCTCTATGTTCACAATACTAGTGCAATTCAAATTGCTGCCAATTCAGCTTTTCATTAGTGCACTAAGCATATTGAGGTGGGTTGTCATTCTATTTGCGAGGCCTTTGAGAATCATGCAATTAGTCTTTCTTGTATCACCTCACAACTTCAATTAACAAATATTTTTACTGAGGCTGTTCCTCTTCCACATCATCAATTCCTCATTAGCAAATTGATGCTTCTTGACCAGTCGCATCAATTTGAGAGAGGAGGTTAATCAAGGAATTTATTATTACATCTATTATTATTTTGGTTCCTATTATATGTTGTATCAATTAGGAATAGAATCAGTTTAGTAATTGTATATATCTAGAATTCCTAATTTAGGCTGTATAGATTAGGAATTAGGATTAATTTGTCATTAATTGTCTTAAATGTGCCTGTTCTAAATATAGAGCAGATCAGAACAAAAGAAATGAGAAAAGTGAAATTTTCTTGACACTCCTCCCTTTCATATACCACTTATTCCATTTCCTTAACTAACTGTAGTTAATATTTGTTATACCATTCATCATTTAGTATTTAAGCACATTGGTGACTGGTCTACTCAAGGTGAAAAGTTTTGTAAATGCTCAAGGACTGCCAGTTCTGAGGATCCTTATGAGTTATGGTCATGTACCTCTAACTTGTCTATCCCCATTGCCTTGTTGCACTTAGTTTTTCTAGGAATGTCCAAAATTAGGATAGTCGTAAATCTCTCTCTCTTGGGTCCCATTGGAGTAGAAAGACTAAACTACTCAAGTAAATTGAGCAAGCCCTAGGTTTTACAATTTGGGAGAACTCGATATGCCCAATGGATATATTTGCTAGTATAGCATGCTCAATTGGTTACTTCCCTTGCTTAGCAACCTGTAGTATTACTTAAATCCACGTTCAAGCTTAGATATTGTAGGATACACTTTGGATTAGGATTTCAAAGAAGTGCATTTGAGATAATGTTAGCCTTTTCCAAAAGCATAGTATCTCCAATAATTTTAGACTCTAAGGGAAATGGGGGTGTTTTGGATTTGAAATTTTTAGATATACATTCTTCAGATTTTTGCACTTAAGTGCCTTTTTACAAAAGGTAAAAGGTTGTAATTTTGAATCAATATCTTCTGCCATAAACTAAAATCTTCAAGTGTTAGTTTTTACTGGTGTAACAATGTTACCTAATTTGCCCAACCCCCTGACAAATGACAAACTAGGATGGGCATGCTGATTTGCACTACGGATTCATACCAGTTCATTGCCATGCATAGGTTGCAACACTGCCATGGGCATTTAGGATTAGAGGCATGGTGTTGCTATAACATTGGATATATGAAAGGGTTGGGAACATGAAAGGTGAAAATGTTGGGAATATGAAAGGTGAAAGGAACTTTCCAAATAAAAGTCCACCAGCGTTGGGAATGGGAATTCAATTAAAGCTCCCTTAACCAAAGCTGCAGGTGTGTGGAATTGAGTAGTCTAATTTAATGAAAATAAGAATTAGGAACTGGGTAAGGAGAACGAAAAAGATAATAAAAAAATAAAATTGCATAAAATAAAAATAAAATTTATTTAAAATATTAAATTGAAACTAATTTTTCTTAAAATTATCATCTTTATAATGTTTTAAATATTGCATTAAAAAATTTATAATGCAATTTTCTTTTAAAATTATAATAAGAACGTACCCAATAATACTTTGGATATGGCAAACCAAAATAGCGTACCAACTAAGCATATACCTCACGTACCATATGTTTTATATAGTGATGTATGCATGCATACCACTTCCCCATACCCATACCAAAGAGAATTGTGTATTAGGTAACAATGGTTTTTACTGATACATTTACAGCCTTGACAACCATCATATGCTGAAAATTCAAATTTGAAAAAATCATGGGCCCTTATAACTCTGCACACCTGACTAAACAAAATAAAAAGGAGCACTAACCACTGTAATGCTCAGAATACTTTTGCAAGTTTTTTTATTCTGCTTGGTCAAATGTGCAAGCTATGAGAGTCTAAAATATCATTTGTTCTCATCATCTGCTGTTTTCAACCTTGAATTTTTGGCATTGGAGGTTTGTCAAATTGTAATATGTTGGTGAAAACTAATATTTAGAGATTTGAGGTTGTTGTAGAAGCTGTTAGTCTTTTATCTTATGTGCCAAGCAACTTATGATTCATTTAATTTTTTAATAAAACAGGCCATCTAGTATGAGTTACTTTTACAATATAAATAACTTGTATAAATGATGAATGAATTGACGAAGTTAATGAATTGATGACATTTATATCATGGGGACTTGAGCTACAAGTGTAGCTGCTGCTACACATCTTTGGCCTTCCATTCATTTCTTCAAATTTCAAATCTTATCATACTGACATGCTGACCAAAGGCAGGAAAACAACTTTTAGTACAATATATTAAATGGTTTTAACTTCTATTTTCATTTTATGTTTGGTTTTTCTTCAGTTTTTTACCCTTGCTCTCTATTGCTCTAAATGCTATTCACTTTCTCAGCATCAAAACCTCTTTAGGCAAAGCTGATGGACAGAGGTTGGAGATTTGTCGGCAATGAACACAGGCAATGATGAGTCGAGTGCAGCACAACAACAGGACACAACTTTTCTTTCTTTTTTGAGTTTGACTCAGTTGGTTTATGCAACTCGACTGGTTCACTGATTTTTTACATAATTGGCTTGTCTATACTGGGTCACACAAAACATTACTGATATGATATATCAACTGGACCAGTTACCTAGCTGATTCATTGGTCGATTCAGTCAGTCAGGTCCAAATTTTACAACACTAGTTATAGTTTGTAAAGTAAGAAAAGTTATTAGTTGAGCATTACCACCCAACATTGCCTCATTAGTAAAGCTGTATTTACTATCCAATCAAGATAGTGAGAATGAAGTTGGATGATGAAATTGTAGGCATTGAAAATCAAAGATTGCTTGATAATTTTGATTGAACTTACGAAAGATGAGAAGTTATTCATGCAAATAAGAAGCTCATTTGCATAGAGGCAAGTTGTGCTGGCAAATGGTTACATTCATCAATCATATAAAGTTCTCTTAAAAAGGCTACTGGCAACAATGCAATGCAGATAAAAATGGTTAGAGCTATAGAATCATAAAGATAATCAAGAATTGGTAGTCCTTGAACATTTATGTAACCTTTCGCCTTATGGACAAGGTAAATACTTAGGGAGGGAGTGTTGATAATACCTCCAATAAAGAATATCTTTAGGAGTAGTAGGTTGGAGTGTTGAGTAGTATGAACTCCATTGTAGTGATGTTATGCAATATTAATTACAGTTACTTAGTTATGGGAAAAGGGGAGTTCATGGTTAAAAAAAGGAGAACTAAGAGAAGAGGTATTGGGCAATTAATAGATTCACTTGTGGTGAAAGCTGTGGATCTCTCGAATACTTGGGAAGTAGAACAGAAGAGTGGGAGAGTTCCATTGTAACACTCTTAGCCTCTGGTTCTGGAACACATTGATGCTAACCAGTACAATTTTTCACATAAGAGCTACCTTTTCATCCTTTTTTGATCCAATTCTATCACTATCAACGAGTATATGTAATATGTTTTGGTCAAATTGACTGTCTCTAAGCTCTCCTCATGGCAATGGGATACACTCAAACATTTGTGTTTTCTCAAGTACCTAAGATGGCTTCTATTCAGATCTTTCTTTCCATGGCTGTAGGACATTGGTTTAGCTTGACATCAAGAATGTCTCTCGGTTATCTTGACTTTTAATTTGTGTTTGGAAAAGCATTTGCAAATATGATTTGGATAATCATTATTTTGTAAAATTGATTTTGGTTGAAAGTGAGTTTGGGATGACTCATGTTTGGAAACTTTCATCTCAAAAGCAAGTTTTTCAATCTAGTCAAACATGATTTTAGTAGAAAAAGAATTCTACAAAATAAGGCAATGAAACATACTACAAAAATAAGCAACTCCATGTTTGGGATTCAAATCCACTTTTTGAAGTCTCAAACACTTATCTAAACATGCAATATTTGAAGAAGCTGCCTAAGGGGAGTCTGTCAAGCTTGGTGTGTAAGTTTCAGAGTTTAAAATGATCTTCTCAATCTTGGTTTGGTAAGTTCAATATTGTTGTGCTGGAATTTGGTACGATAAGGAGTCAAGTTGACCACTCAGTTTTTAGTAGACATTCTTCACATGGAAAATGTATTATTTGGTAGTATATGTGGATGGTATAGTTATTATAGGTAATTATAATTATGGCTTAGAATCAGGAAGCATTAGTTCAGTCACTTCTGGCCAAAACACTTGGGTAAACTTTAATGTTTTCCTAGTATTGAGGTAGGTCAATCTTATAATGACATTGTGATTTCCCATAGGAAATATGCCTTTAGATATATATTGGATGTAACCAGTGAGATAAATTGCAAACCTATTGATACTTGGATGTACTTGAATAACAAACTCTTACCAGATTATGGAAGGCTTAATTAGATCTTATCAAGTAGTTTAGAAACTTATTTTACAATTGAAGTCACACATTGACTATAAATATGACTAAATAAGAGTTTATAAAGGTTAAAACAATCCTCACTTTACAAGTTAACTTTTGGAAGTAAATGAGGCCCACGTTTCATAATATGGTATTAGAGCCTTTCCAAGCCAGAGGTCCAGTCCTGTTGGGTCACTCACAAATGTCTAATCTTGCAAACTTCACACACTAGATGTCTTGTCCTAGGCATGACGGGGTGTATTAAGATGTTCCACATTGGCTAAAAATAGAGCCAAAATACACCTTAGAAGGACTTGACTAGACCTCCTCCTATGAGCTAAATTTTGAGGTTGAGTTAGGCAAATTTAATACGGTATCAAAGCCTATCGTAGATTTGATATCAGACCACCCTTCACCGAAAAAAAAACCATCTGGTTGGCCCCATGAATTTTCCTAGTGCAATTAACCTTGTCTCATGGATTTTCCAATGCAACTTACCTAGTTTTGCAGACTGCTACCTACCTAGTCCCCGCGACTTATCCAGTGCTACATTAAAAAAAAAATCCTACATTTTCATGCTCTAGATGTCCAATTTTGAGCCTGAGGGTGTTGAAGTCCCACATCGATTATAGATATGACTAAATAAGAGTTTACAAAGGCTAAAATAATCCTCACCTTATGAGCTAGCTTTTGGAAGTGAATTACAAACAAACCAGACTTTTCCTTTAAATTTTGTGAGTCAATTTATGCAGTCCCCATGTGTTGATCATTGCGGTGCAATTGTATGGATCTTGCAATACTAATACATTTTTCGAAGACAAAGGAAATTCTTAGGTTGCGGGGTACTTTGATGCAGATTGGGCATATTTGCCTATTGTAGCCAATGTATTTTAGGATACTATTTCATTGTTGGTGGTAATTTTTTAAGTTTAAGAAGCAAAATGTGGTTGCTCCGTCTAGTGGAGAGGCTGAATGTTGAGCTATGACAATGGTCACCTGTGGACTTCTTCAAGTTGTTACTTTGCGAATGTTGATTAGATGAAGATATATTTTGATAATGAGGTTAGCTTTATACATTGCATCAAATCCATTATTATATGCAAGGCCCAACTTTATACAAATTGATTGCCACTTAATAGAAAGAAAGTTCTTTCCAAGGAAATCAATATTTTGTTAACTCTAGTGATCAATTTGCAGATATCCTTGCAGTATATTAGAGATGGTAGACCATGTATATATGGTGAATTAGGCTGAGGATTTTCATCAGCTTACCTCTACATTATTCTGAAATTCACATTTTTATTAGAAAAGGCAGTGGACCCAACTGTTGACTAACTTGGTGTTGGAGACTGACTTCAATACCATTTTATGAATTAACTATCCCAAAACCTTAAATTGTTAGCTATAGAATTGTGATAGTTTTATATCTAATATATAGTTTTGACTTTAATACCGGTATTCTTTTTAAAGTAGGCTTTTATCATATTTGTTTGATTTTTAGCTCAATTCTAACACACGGATGGGGTGTATGAGATTTTCTTTCACCATTGTCAACCAGTGTTATCAAAAGGCGGCCATGGCAGAAATCAGTGGCAGATTTTTAACAATCCACCATACATATGGCGGCTCATAGCGGGTTTGCAATGGCAGGCCATGGTGGCCTTTATTTGAATGGCGGATATGGTGGCAATGGCAAAATTATGGGAATCTGCCAAAATAAAAATTATATTTGCCGATTTGACCTTGTTTCACGCTAAACCAATCCCTAAAATGTAGACTTCCAATCTTGTTGGCCTTTGATATTAGTCTCGGCTATGATTTTGTCTCTCACAGCAGCCTCCCATTTCCTTCTCTCATCTACCCTGCCGGTCACCTTCCCTACTTTCATCGACCATGAGCTCCAGCAACTCTCATTTTTCAGTGAGCAGGTTTTTTGGTGCTGTTTTTGTTTATCCTTCTTCATTCTATTTTTCTTTTTCCTTCTCCACATTTCTCCTCTGTTCTCTCTCCATTTTTTGTTTCAACTTTCTTTCTCTTATTTTCTTTTTTGACTTTTCCTTCTCTGTTTTTCATCCATTTTTTATTCAAAGACTGCTGCCTTGATTTGAGCAGCAGTTTTCCTTAACATAGCCTAACAAGCTTCCTCATTCTTCGAGGGCCGTTAATCGGATTAATCCAACAAGCTTCCTTAATTAGTCTTTCTATTTTCCTTGTTTTTAACCACTTTGTTTAACTTGAGGCTTGATAGCTTTTAGTTTGTACTGAACTTATGCTTTGAGACTTAGGCTATTGTGTTATGAGATCTTGTTACGAGGCATATGATATTATTTGATGATTTTGTATCAATTAGATTCTTGATTTTGACATATGTAGTTAGTTTTTTGGTTTTATATCACATTCTGCAGTTTTTTTTTTTTTTTTATATATATTTTTGTAGATATAATATATGTATTACATTATTCTATTATGGCTGCCATGCTTCTGCTATAAACCGCCATGGCATCTGCCATAATTTTTATGGCAGCTTTTTGGCTTTCTGCCATAACCCTGCCGTTGATAACATTGTTGTCAACTGGGGACAAGGGAAGTATACTACTATTCAGTTATGTAATGGCATTGTTACTTGATGCTGCATGGTTTTCTTTCTCATATTTGAGTGCCTCCGTTCTTAACGTTTCAGGCTGCACGTGTTCAATCAGAGCAGGCAGGTAATACCTGCCGGCAGTTGCTGAATGCCAACAATATTCAGTCAGTAGCTGAACAGAACTCAAAGGAAATTCAAACATCCATGGCCCCTTCAAGTTTTGTTATTTCTGGTGATAGAGAGCAATCAGCTCCATTAATGTATGCACCGCAAGTGTCGTTTCCTCAAAAATCTGGACACACTGAGGAAGATCCACGTAAGTCTGCTGCTGCAGCAGTGGCGGCTAAACTGACTGCTTCAACATCCTCCGCACAAATGCTATCTTATGTGCTGTCCTCCCTAGCATCAGAAGGCGTCATAGGCAATCCAATGAAAGAGTCTTCTGCTGATTATCAGTCTGAGAAGAGGACCAAGCTGGAGAATGACCAGCCAGCTTACATCCCATCTCAGAATCCTCAACAACCACTTCCTCCCTTTTCGGTTTCTGAGTCTATCCAACATAATGCACCTACAACTAACCAGCAATCTACCCCCATTGAGCCACCACCTCCACCCTCGTCATCACCTCCCCCATTGCCACCACTACCACCAATGCCTCAGTATCCCGTGCCACAGTTCATGCAGACTGCTGGATCCATTAGCAGTATGGCATACAGCTATGGCATGACACAACAGCCATCAATGGCAGCCTATCCAGGCGTTGGGGCTTCCCTGAATGGTGTTTCCCCTTTTACCCCCCCATTGGGTACATATCAGGGTTTTCAGGGTTCAGATGGAAATTACTATAATCAACCCTCATCAATGCCTATGGCCCCAATATCTCGACAATAAAGTTCCCTGTCCTAGACTTAGGGTAGGGAAAATTTGCTTAGGAAAAAACCTTCATACCTCCACCCCGTAACCTAGCTATGGGAATCTGATTCTTACTACTGTCATATGTGCACATAGTAAAAATGCTTTGTAACCTTAGTTGTTGGCTGGTACTAATTTCCTGGAGTTAAATAATTTCGTTGTGTGTTACACCAAGGATAACGGTTTTGTACTTCTACTGAGTAGGGTAATTTATCTTTTAGGTATTGTAAAACTAAGCATATACTGTTGCCTTGGGGCTTATTAGATGTGTGATTTTGGAGGGTGTAAGCACGTCGTTACTGGTGAATCAGTTACTGTTGTATTTGGTCATCAGTCATAGCCTGCTTGCATGTCTTCGAAAATTCCGCATCTCTGCTGATGGGCCTGTTACATGTACAGACCATATGTGTTTGTATTTTATGGAATTATATGTTGTGCTGGAGAACAAAACTATCCTCCGAAGTTCCGGTTAACTGAACATTTTATTTATTTATATTATACATGACATGATATGTTGAAACACGTTTTTGTTTTCTGAGGATAAAGGAACCGAATTTGTAAAGCCATACTTGCCAGTTGCAATTAAGTGTGTTTAGGTGGTGTACTTGGACAAGTTTATTCTGGGATTGTAAATTTCTATTGAATGCTTTCTGAGAATTTTTTTTTCTCTTTGAAAAAACGGTTGCTTCTTTATATAATAAATTTTAAAATGTTATTAGTGGTGAGAATGAAAATACAATTCAAAGTTTGAATTACAATTTTAGTTATAAAAAGTTCAGATATCATTTTAGTCTTATTTTTATCGTTAAATATTGGTTTCTATACTTTTATACTTGTTCTTGTTCTATCATTTTTATCATAATGGGCACATACCTTACAGCTTAACTTGTTAATATATTAATGGTAAAAAATGATAAGGATGTGAACTAAAAACTTAAGGATTAAATTTTAAATAATTAAAATTTTTAAAAGTTAATAATGATTTTAAAACCTTACCATTTGATTGCTTCTTTAAAGTATGCAATGGAATTGAATTCCATGCTAAGTTTGATACATTCTTTCATTATCTACTCATGTTTGTAACGACGATATGTAGTTTTATTTATCCCTCGGAAATTTTTAATGTCACTATCCAACTGAACATTACTATATTTTGAGTCCAAGTCCTCCATCCTATTTTCGACAAACTGAACTTATTTTCATTAGTTGTTTACTCATTACCTTCTTGTTCACCTCCTGTTGCATCGACATTAATGTACTTAAAGCCAACTCCTATCATCACATTCTTCCTCATTATCTTCAAACAATATTATGATCTTCATCCTCATCATTTTCATTATCATTTTCCCCACTATCATCTTCAATTTCTTCTTCCTCTAATGTTAATATCACTTTTTATTTTATTCCCCTTTATACTATATAAACATTTAGGCCTAATTTAAATAAACTTTCAAAAAAGTTTTTATATAAGGAAAAAAAAACAGTATAAAAAGTGAAAAATCTTCTTATACGTTAGAAATAATTTATATATTTTTATTTCTTTGAGAATGTTTTATTTAATATCTTTAAAATTTGAAAAAATAATTTTTTTAACTCAAAGAAGTTTTATTTATTTATTATTCTTTTATAAAGACTTTTCTACATATTTACCTACATTGGACGTTATTTCTTTAACACATGCTCTTGGCAGTTTTTGCAATAATCATTACACTTGCGTCATCCCAAACTTTTGCTAGTCATATCTAATCTAATGTCAAGTATCTAAAAATAGACTTATACAATTCTTTTATATCCTAAATTCTTCAAAATGATAGAACTCTCATGTATTGAGATATTTTAAACTCAATTAGTTATTGGATTTTCAATTATCCGGTATAACATAATCAAGGGTTATTATATTATATTTAGTTGACTTTGTTAGTATTTGTCCACTATAATACAACAACACAATAAACATAATTGAAAGCATTCATAAAATATTTACTAGTATTAGAATGATTTATGTGAAATAAAATTATTAGCTATTATATATGAAAGAAATTATTTTAGAAACACTATAAGACTCATTACACACTTATATGCATTCAATTTTAAAAAAATAATAATTTATGACCAACAAAACTCTAACGATAAACGTCAAAACAAATACCAAAATTAGAAGCATGTTATTCATATTTCCAATCATTTGACATGAGCAACGACCTGTTACTTGTATTCAATGATGAAATTCATATTTAAAAATATTGAATGATGTAGGATTGTCAAATTGGGCTTGGGCTGATAGGTCTGCCTACCTAGTCCACCAACATTGGCGGGCTGGGATGAGTATGTTGGATTCATTGTCCTGTCCAATTCATTCTACTTTAACTCACCAAAATGCGGCCAATGACGAATGGGGACGGGCTAATTCGTTGGACTCATTTTTTAATTTTAAAAATAAAAAAATTATTAATTAAATATTAATTTTTATCACTATAAAAATATTTTTAAATTTATTATTTATTATAATTTTTTATATTTTTTTGTTAATTTTTTATAGCTTGACTCATTAATCTAATGGTCCACCATTTTTTTATTTAATTCATTTTTTAATTTTTGGCATACTAGCTTGTAGCTTACTAGCCCATTGAGCTAGAAATTCCAACTCATTTTCTAAATGAGTAAGCTTGAGCTAGCCCATTTTTGAGCGAGCTTCTGGCAGTTTAGGACATATTGTTTTGTCACCCCTAAAATGACACAATTCTAAATCAAGTGTTAATTGTTTTAGAGGCTTTCAATATCTTTGGTAATAAATACTAACAAATTACCGATAATGGTCTTACTCAAGCAAAGATTTTGTTTTTCTTTTTTTAGTGGAAGGGTGAAATAAATGGAAAGACTTTTGCAATTAACTTTGAGAACTTCCTCTCTTTGCCTAAGTACATGTTACATGCTTCAAATGCCCTCAAAGAGGCTTTTAAGTCATGTCATCAAGTTTTTAACACCATTTGATAGATTTAAAAATGACACAAATTAATCTAAACATAATAATTATCTTTGTAAGGTTGAAATTGTATATTTTATGTGTAGAGACTGTAATATTCTAATTTTTTTTTAATCTTAAACTGCTTATTTTATTTGTACAAAATTGGGATAAAAATGTAAGTAAATTAAAATCTTTTTACGTATAAAAGGATTTACAAATTTTGCTAACAGGACAATATTATTTACATAAATAGTGAATTTAAAGATTATAATAAACCAAATAAAATTTACAAGTATGGGCATTAAACATGCATTTACCTATAATAAGTATAATAATTTATACATTGTTTATCAAAATGTGTGGGACTTAAAATGACAATTACATTACCAAAATAAATTAAGTCCCAGAACACTCCTAAAATATATCCAAAATGTTGAGGATCCGGTGCTAGTCATCGCCATGCCATCTTTCTATTTTCGCTAAATCCTCAGAATCGAGGTTATCATCTGATCCAAGATAGAGATCTCACGAATGTGGCATAACTTCAACCCCTGACACTCGTTCAAAGGTAACTCAAGTCGGCCTTCTGAGATAATCATGGTCATGGTATGTACACAAATAAGTTATAGTTGTTGGGGTCTTAACTATACCTATATACACACACACACACACACACACACACACACACACATAAGGTATGATAGATTCTATTATTTACAAGAAAGTCAAAAGGAACGCAATAATATAGTTCCATTTTCAACATAATAATATTACTGGTGTGTCATCAACATGTACAACCAACTTAAAATGACATGTCCTCTGGTATTTATTAAATAAATAATTTAGCCTACAATATATAGAACTATCTATCAACCTAATTCTTTCTTGAGGCGTTGTTATCCTAGTTCTCTGAAAATTTTAATCAGGATGAGTATCTATTCTACCATTTACAAACCATATTATTAAATATTATAATTATGACATAAGAGAAGATATAACCATTCCACAATCAATTTATAAAACAACAATAACCATATAATTTCTACACATAGGTTTTTCATAATTCATCTAATTTCTCTCTTTCAACACCACTTCTAGTGCACTGTGATCACAGACAACGATGTCTCTAATATTTCTTGAGCGCTTACTTAACTAGGTAAATAGTCGTCGATTAGCCATACACACGGATACAATGCATACAATACCGGATCCTTTAACAAAGGTATAGTCAGGAAACAAGTGTGAGGCCATGTGACGTATTCGCTCTCAGAAAGAGTGTGTACACATATGTTAATATTACTCATCACCCTACATTTCTCCCAAATTTCTCATCGTCTCCAGACTCTATACCCTAGTGTATCTCTATAACTATTCACACTAGATTCATTCCATATTCAACACTTATACTTATCTCGAGAATCCTTTTATTCTCCACTCATAGGATCATACTTAGTAAAACACTTCCGAACTAAGTCCACATCATTCATACCATTAGAATATAGTTTCAATTATTAATTCCTTCAAACCAGCATTATACTTTCTCATAGCCACATAATGCTCATATACATGTCTCAACATATAGTCTATACATTTCAACTCACAAATGCAATATCATACTTCATCATTACATCTCATATAGACATATTTCATATTATCATACCATAATCACTTCGCATGTTTCCATTACACTTCACATTGAGTACTCATCATGTATTTCACGTGAACATAACATAACCATTCAAGCCAAACAACCACATATGCATATTCTCAGCTATTACTTGCAAATACTGTCCTTCAAACACATATTTTCACACAATCTTTATGTAATAGTGCTCCAATGAGCACAAAATATATACTTTAATTAAATGATAGAATAGAGCTCTTCTTACCTTGAGGTGAGTATTCAGAGAGAGACGAATATTATGGTTTAACAACGAAAGTTCTCCTAATTATCAAGAGATATCCTTGAGAAATGAAAAACACGAGAAATGAATAGAGAAAGTAGCGTTGAACCCAAAGAAACTTACTTGGAGTCATTTAGATTTGACACCTATGCTCAGGTTCGAGGAGTGATCAGAGTTGGAAGGAGTTTTATCTGAGAAAAGGAAGTGAGAGTTCAGAGAAAATGAAAAGGGAACGTGAGGTTTGGAATAAAATGAAATTTTCATGCTAAAAATCTCTTAAATACTCCTCAGCCCTGCACGTTTTCACTTGAGTGAGGAACTGCTCACTTGAGTAACGCTATTCTCGCTTGAGCTAGAACACCAAACATTGACCTCACCAAGCATTTTCTGATATTCTCGTTTGAGCGAGGTTAAGCTCGCCTAAGCAAGATAATGTCCAAAGAGTTAGACATTTTTCGTGTGAGTTCTCGCCTAAGCAACTCAACTTGCTTGGTTGAGATCACTACTCGCCTGAGCGATATTACCTCTTGCCTGGGCGAGATGACATTGGGCTGAATATATCTTGTCTTGTTGAGTAAGAATTATTTCGCTTGAGCGATATTATCTTGAAAACATGTGATTCTGGGTGCTTAGTCTCGCTGAAATGACATCTATCTCATCTGAGCAAGACCTCCTGCACCAAACATCTATCAAAACACCCTTAAATCATTTCAATACACTCTAAAACTATATCATATAAAACAATTTATCAATTCATTGAATAAATAAAAAAGATGGTGTTA